GTTCCTCTCCTTGTATTTCTCCAGTAATTTTATCCATCACCATAGAAAATCAGTAAGGTCTTAAAGCAAACCTTTGGTGCTCTCCTACTTTTACCCGAAAACCTTCTGTTACTCCTCCCAGACTTTTTACCTTAGTACAAGTGCCATCATACATATCCTCTATTATATTAATGTACCTGTCGGGACTCCTTTTCTCATTAACGTCCACTTTAGAACCTCTCTCGGTACTCTATCATACGCTATCTTCAAATCTATAAATACCATACAAAGCTTTTTCTCTTTTCCCCCAAACTTTACTATTAGTTGCCTCACACAATATAATGGCTCCATTGTTGACATACCAGGCATAAATCCAAATTTGTTTTTAGATACCGATGTGTGAAAAAATCAATGACTATAAGCGAGGATGTAATATGAGAGGTGTAAATTTTTAACTATTTAGAATCAGTTATGCAATAGAACGATGGTATTGACGAAAATTTAAAACGCATGATTAAGTGTGAGTGGGTCAAGTGGAGAGAAATGTCTGGTGTCTTAAGTGATAAGAGAATTTCAATGAGGCTGAAAGGTAAATTCGACAAGACTGTAGTGAGGCCAGCTATGATGTATAGTTCAGGTTGTTGGGTGATTGACAAGAGAATAGAGTTGAGATGAGAATGCTTAAAGAAATGAGTGTAGTGACTAGAGAAGATAGGATAAGGAACGAGCATATAAGAGGGAGTATAGTTGTAGTGTCAATCGTAGATAAGATGAGATAAAATAGACTTAGATGGTTTGTTCATGTTATGAGGAGAGAGGAATCGGAAGCTAATATCAGTTATAGAAATGAATGTTAAAGGAAGAACAGGTAGAGGAAGACCCAAAAAAAAGATGGAATGGGATATGAGGACAGTTAATGTGTGCATAGATGATGTGGAAGAACGTAGAAGGAAGAAGAAGGAGAAGATATTTATTGCATCTTTAAGCAATGGCAGTCAAATAGGAGGGGATTAGGAAAAAGAATCCCCATTGACATTGACCCTTCTTTTGGAAATTTTTATTATATGTACTTCATAATTTGAAAACTTCATATTGTTATGGTATTTAAATATAAATTATAAATGTAACACCACTATGATTTGACTGTGGAGTCAATTTATTTTATTTTAAATTACAATAACATTATTAAAATACTAAAAGATACAAAAGACAGATGAACAGAAAAGTACAGATAAAACAATATAAGGCGCTGGTATATAACTGGTTTACATAATCGCCGACGTGTCTCGAGGTGCTGCACCCCCTGACCTGTCCTATCTACCGACCGCCGGACAAGACAAACTAGTGTTATCGTCAACACTAACGAGTGCGACGTGGACAGCTAATAATCACGACAAGATAACATGCTAATTCACTGTAAATAAATAGTGCGCTATTACGGGCCGTGACAATATAAACAATAATATACAATAATTCAGTTTAAATGTTATGAAAAATCTTAAGGCATTGTGCTTAAATCTATATAATCTCAAATTGCTCGCTATAACAGAATAAATCACAAAACATGATAAAAATGATCAAGTTTTATTAAATTGTTTTGTTCATTTATATTTATAGTAAAATACTTTTTAAATAGCAATTATAAGTTAGACTAATAGACGAATTAGTCTATTTTAATATTTTATAACTATATAATATATAGTTATATATATTATAATCATATATTATTATTAATAATAATATGTGAATAAAAAAATTATTTTGCATTACAAAATATATTGCACGTGTTGATTTTAGGAATCCATATTTCAAGTAAAGCGTTGGATTATATTACTTTCATAAATTTTATCCTAAAATAAGAAACTTCAAAAAGCCGACGCATTCTTAAATTTAATTTAGTTCTCCTACTTAAATGGTTATATGATATATTACATTTTATACACGTGATATAATATAAAAGTTTTTGTGTATGATACGTATATTATTAACATTTAAAACTACGTCATTTAAATAATATAGGTTTACTAAAGTTTTAAACGATTTCCATAATTCATTTGCTTGGAGACTTTTACTTTGAGAAATCTTCCATCTGCTGAGTGCTGAAGATTTGAAAAAATATATAGTCAATTACTTAAACGACATTCACACTTCACATACGTCATTAAAATTTATTTCACTAATGAACTCCGTAAGTTCGTGTGTAAAAATATTCTTATAAGTATTAATTTTTAAGTATTTATTTTTTGGTTGACTTATTGAGCTAATATTTTGTACGACAAAGAAGAGCTAACTTTTGTAAAATGTTATAAATCAAACTTAATTAAGTTAATTTAATAAAATAATAATAATAATAAATTAAGCATAGACGAAATACAGCGCAATTTGTATTAGTTTTGATTGATATCTGACAGTAATTAAAATCATTGCCATAAAAATAATCCAAGTTTATTATTAAAAATTATTATATTTACGATAAATTACACGATTTATATTTAAGATGCCGATTACTCATAAAGGACAAGTCATTTGAACGATTATTTTATCATTTATCACATTAATCTATAATATATTTTAGCATGATATCAGTATTCTGTTACAATGTAAAAAAATTATAAAATCAGCTATTTTTACCAAAAATTGTATCATTTTTGGCTTTAATGCTCGATAACTCTTAGAAATCGAGATTTCAGATGATTTTAGCTTCGATGCGAAGCGGAGAAGGTATTAATTTTACTATGATGTGTTTTTTTTTTTTTTTTTTTTTTTTT